GCTTTACATCTCATTTAATTCTCCTAACAACCCTTTCGAGTCCTTTGTCTTTTATTGTCATCCCTAGTAGTATAGACAAAGAAACTGAAGCTTGTAGACGTTAAGCAACTTTTAGGAAGTCAGATAGTAAGAGCTGGAGTCAGGATCCACAACCTTGCCACAGTGTGGCTTCAGTCCTTCTGGACAGGTTCTCGCAGCCTTCTCCTGCCCTCTGATGCTCATCTCTTGTACTTGCCTCATTATCCCGTGAGCAGCTCTGAGCTCGAATGGGTCTCCAATGGCAGAGAGCCACACTGCTCCTCTCTGAAGTGTGTACGGTCTATTTTTAAATACCTGCCCTCCTTTCATTTTCTTGTCTTACAAATTCTAACTTGGCAGAATCTCTCTCCCCATCATCTCCAGTTCCCTCGAATCACTGTCTGTGTTTCCTTTCTGGTCACAGCTGGGCTGAGGGCAGCCTTTCCTCCCATGCTTTCCCAACCTCTGAGTCTACAATGAGCAGCTGGGCAACACGGAGGCCATCTCTGGTGCTCTCCTCTGAATGCAATTTGGGTTTCGGCAGATGTCCAATAAACAAAGCTCTTGCTAAAAATGCAAATGCCTCTCCTAAGGATCTTTGTCATTTTTAAACCACATAAATACCCAGATAATTATCTAAATGGCCAAGTGTGTACGACCCAGGCTCGCAGGGCAGAGAGGCATTGCCCTGGATCCTCAGCCCCCTTCCAGCTTTCCAAGCCAAACACGGACACACAGGAAAATCAGCAGGAAGTTGGCTTTCTGTTTCTGATAATTTGCAGCATTAGCCTATGCAAAGCCTGAGATAAAAGGTGCCTGTTTTGCTTTGAATAGAAATCACACAAGATGTTTTCAATCAAGCACAACTCAGTGTTGTCTTTGTTTTTCTAAACTTCCTCCCCTCCTACCTACTCTCAAACAGGAACAATGAATGCAATACAATCTTTAAAAGATAAATAGTAATGTTTGGAAAACCACAGGAAAGGAGAGGGAGCAAATGTGCTGCTGGGGCTGTTGCTTCTGTACATTGTGACTGCGGAGCTTCCACATGACAGGGCGTGGGATCCTCTCTATTTGGTAAAAAGAGATGTAAACAATTTCAGGACAAATATTTTTTGTCCTGGGACTACACTCTAAAAAATGTATTAAATATGATCTTGCATGGGGACCACTGTGTGACATGCTAGAAAGTAATTAAGACAAATCTTCTATGGCAAATGCAGAAAGGACTCTTATTAGCCCAGCTTCGGTTGCTGCTCATGAAAAGCCAGGGCGAGTCCCCTGAGTTGGAGGTTTGGATGAGGCCCATTTTCAGGGATGGTTTTATGCAAAAGCCTATTTTGTGGGATTGATCAAAGAGAGGCTCCTCTTGTGAAAGCAAAGGGTAGATGCCTATATTCTGCTCCCAACCTCCTCCTGAGAGCTTCCCCTTTGTCCAGAGACAGCGTGATTGAAAACAGTGGCATTAAGGAAAATTTCACCAGTGTGTGTTTGCACAATGCAAGTCCTATGTGAAAAAACGTCTTCTTGGTAAATTAGCGATGAAAATACTTAATATTTTTTCTTAAAGACTCAAAATGCACACTAGCATAGTAGAGTATCATAGCCATTCGTGATGATTAATTTTGTATGTCAACTTAGTTAAGCTGCAGTACTCAGATATTTGCTCACACATTATTCTAAATGTCCCTGTGCAGGTATTTTTTAGATGACAGTAACAGTTAAATCAGTAGACGTTGAGTAAAGATTACTCTCCATAATATGAGTCAGCCTTATCCAATCAGTTGAAGGCAAAAAGAAAATAACAAAGTCCCCCAAGGAAGAGTAATTTCCGTCTCCAGGCAGCCTGCAGACGTGAGCTGCAATGTCAGCTCCTTCCTGGGTCCCCAGCCCGCTGGCCTACCCTGCAGATTTCAGGTTTGCCAGCTCCCACATTTGCATAAGCCAATTCCTTAAAAGTAAATCTCTCTCCGTGTATATATGTTATGTGTCACTTAATGACTAGGTTCATTCTGAGAAATGCATCGTTAGGCGATTTCACCATTCTGTGAACATTACATAGAGGGTACTTACACAAACCTAGCTGGTACAGCCATTACACACCTAGGCTGTATGGTATGGCCTGTTGCTCCTAGTCTGCAAACCTAAACACATCTATCCTTTGCTTTCGCAAGAGGAACCTCTCCTTGATCAATCCCACAAAATAGGCTTTTGCATAAAACCATCCCTGAAAATGGGCCTCATCCAAACCCCCAACTCAGGGGAATTGCCCTGGCTTTTCATGAGCAGCAACCCAAGCTGGCTCAATAAGAGTCCTTTCTGCATTTGCCATAGAAGATTTGTCTTAATTACTTTCTAGCATGTCACTCTAGAGTACAGCAGGTTACTCTAGTGAATGCTGTAGGCAATTGTCACACCGTGGTAAGTATTTGTATATCAAAACATAGAAAACACAAGCACATATTTTACGATACCTGTTCTAAACATAGAAAAGGTACTGAAAAATATGGTATAAAAGATTTAAAAATGGTATGCCTGTATGGGGTACTTGGCAGGAATAAAGCTACAGGACTGGAAGTTGCTCTGGGTGAGTCAGTCAGTGAGCGGCAAGTTAATGTGAAGGCCTAGGACATGCCTGTACACCACTGTAGACTCAATAAATACTGTGTGTTTCTAAATTTATATATAAAAAAATTCTTTCCTCAATCATAGATTAACCTTAGGTTACTGTAACATTTTTTACTTTATACATTTTATTTTACTTTTTTTTCTAAGACGGAGTCTTGCTCTGTTGCCCAGGCTGAAGTGCAGTGGCGTGATCTTGGCTCACTGCAACCTCCACCTCCTCAGTTCAAGCAATTACCCTGCCTCAGCCTCCCGAGCAGCTGGGATTACACGTGCATGCCACCACACCTGACTAATTTTTTTTTGTATTTTAAGTAGAGACAGGGTTTCACCATGTTGACCAGACTGGTCTCAAACTCCTGACCTGAGGCAATCTGCCTGCCTTGGCCTCCTAAAATGCTGGGATTATAGGTGTAAGCCACTGCACCCGGCCGAAACTTTAAAATTTTAAAAAACCTTTGGACTCTTCAGTGATAACACTTACATTAAAACACAAATACATTGCACAGCTGTACAACTGTTTTCCTTTATGTCCTTATTCTATAAGCTTTTTCTATTTTGAGATTTTTTTACTTTTAACTTTTAAAACTGTATTGTTAAAAATTAAGACACAAACACACAGTCTAGCATAGGCCTACATGAGGTCAAGATCATGAATACCACTGTCTTCCACCTCCACATCTTGTCCCACTGGGAGGTTTTCAGGGACAATAACATGCATGGAGCTGTCGTCTCCTGTGACAACAATGCCTTCTTCTGGACACCTCCTGAGGGACTTGCCTGTGGCTGTTTTCAGTTAACTTTTTTTTAATCACTAGAAAGAGTATACTCTAAAATAACGAGAATATAGTGCAGTTAGTACATAAACGAGTAATATAGTCATTTATTATCCTTGTCTCTATTATGTACTGTACATAATTACGTGTGTGATACTTTTACTATGAATGTCAGTGCGGCAGGTTTGTTTACGCCGGCACTGCCACAAACACTTGAATAACACACTGGGCTACAACATTACAATGGCTGATGTCACTAGAAGATAGCAATTTTTTCATCTCCATTATAATCTTATGGGACTACCACCATATATGCAGTTTGTCATTATGTACCAGATAATGATATTTTGGTCAACAATGGACCCCATATAGGATGGTCATCCCTTAAGATTATAGTACTGTATTTTTACTGTACCTTTTCTATGTTTAGATATGTTCAGCCACACAAATACCACTGTGGAACAATTGCCTACAGGATTCAGTACAGTGACACACTGTACAGGTTTGTAGTTTAGGAGCAATAGACCATACCCTATAGCCTAGGTATGTAGTAGGCTGTATCTTCTAGGATGCTGTAAGTGCACGCTATGATGTTCACACAATTAAAAAATTACCCAGTGGTGCATTTCCCAGATGTATCCTTGTCATCATGAGACACATGATTGCATACACACACACACACACATGCATACACATTCTCTTGGTTCTGCTTCTCTGGAGGACCCTGACTACTACACCATTATCTATCTCTTAATGTATTTTGGGGACATTTTATGGCATCTATTGAGTTCTCCGTGCTCTTATTCAGTGCGCATGCATGGTTCCTATTCACAAGGGTTCATGCACTTTGGCCTCAGTTGGTCTGAATGCTTCACAGCAATAATGCCCATCAGGAGCAAAAATGTGGAGCAGGAAGTATGGTTTTTGTTTTATTTTGCTTTGTAATTTGGTATCTCACAAATGCCCTTAACTGAAAAGCATGCCCAAATGAAGAGGTATGTCAAAGGCCTTAATTGCGATGCATGATAGTAATAAACCAGAGACTAATATAAGTTGTCCTCAGTGCCTCCTTCTGGGTTAACTTGCTTTTAAAATATATATAACAAGCTTGGCAATCTTGTTTTCAATCTAAAAATGAAGGAGGCAAAAAATATCAGCTTCACACTGATGACAGTGAAAAGTGGAAGCTGATAAACTGAAAGCCCAGGGTAAGACTTAATATCAGACAAACAAGACACAGATGCTAACTACGAGGCTGGCGTCGGAGGGTCGGGGGCTTGGTGAGCATTCGAGTGAGCCTCGTGGAGAGCAGAGGGACAGAGTTTCAGAAGGGTGATCCAAAGACCCCAAGCGAGGGCAAATTTTATGAGAAGTCAGAGAATGATGTGGACACTTCAGAAACATTTCCATCAAAATGTTGAGAATTGAACCACAGTTTGGGCTCCCCGCATCTGCAGGTCAGTCCCCGGAGCCGGGAAACCCAATCTTGGGTGACTCCATGCTGATGAAGCTCCAACCTGAGGTGGTGAAGCACACGATGTCATAGGTATCCTCTCTTCTGATCTCTGTGCTTTGAAACAGGTTCTCTTCAGTGCCCTCACTGTAGCTCTGTCTGGAAAGTGTGATCATGAAATCCTTCGTCTCCTGCTGACATTTCCCAAAGGGGAAAAATCTCGGATCGCGACGCAGGAACTCTGTGGCCTGCCAGCGTCAAAAGTATATCCTCTGATTGTGTTGCTGAGTCAAAACCTGGATGTGCGAGCTTTCATTTACAAGGTATGGGGAGCATGCTGGCTCAGGGCGGTCCTCTGCAGGAGTCTGCTGTGGTGGCTGCAGATAAGTAGGGTAGTCCCAGGGGTGCTGCAGTGGGAGAGGAGCACCCGGCCACTCTGCAGTGGCCTCCACCAGCCTCTAGTGTCACCTGTCTGCTGACTCCAGGGTGGGGCTCAAGAAGACTTTGTTGTAATAAAGGGATGTTCAGGAGAGCCTTCAGGGGGCCCTTGGAGACAGGCGTCAGGGCATTGGGACAGAGTTTTTGGTGGTCTCCATGCTCATTGTTGGAGGACCCACTGCAAAAACGCACCACCGCTTCCTAATGCCAGGGGTTCTCTCCTCTGTAAGGGCCACCTCCCTGGAGCATGTTTGAGGAGGCTGGGATTGTGCATGGTCCACTCCTGAGCGGCCCAAGTTAGGTGCTGCTCCCCGCACCATGGTTCTATCAGTCAGCAGGAAGCATCCAGCTCTGCCAGGGCCCATGCTGGAGAGAATGTGGAGGGGTTGGCAGCACAGGAAGCCCAATCCCCTGTGTGTGCCGGCTCTGTACTTGCCCTGTGATCCTCTGACAAGCAGCAGTGTGAGGGCAGGGAGGGGCTGGAGGAGGCCAAAGACGATGAAGTCGGCAGGAGAGAGTGGAGAGTGGGAAGTGAGGAGACCCAGCACTTTCCAGACGGGCCCAGAACCCATGTAAGGGTGACCCAGCTCCCAACCACAGCTCACTGCTCTCAAGCTGCCCCTTCCAGAAGTTTCTCCTCCTTCTGGCCTCCACTCTTTGAATCTTTACTTAAGTTTCCAGAAGCTTCCCTTCCTACCCTTAGGCATTGATCTTGCTCCAAGTACCATTGTTTTCCCTTTAGGGAAGTGTTTCATAACCTCTAGGTTCATTAGAGGGGCTGCAGGGTTTGTAGTATGGTAAGGTGGCTGTAGGCACCCCGAGTCTGGGAGAACAGTTTTAGAGTCAGCAAAGGGTAGATCTGCCATTTCAGCCACACATGATTTCCTTACTTTCTATTACTTCAAGAGTCCAGGGGGTATATGTTGGAACACACACACACACACACACACACACACACACACACACACAGAACAAATATTCGTTTTCAGAACGATTACATTTTAAACCCATAAAGAGGAGGATAAACATTTCTTGCATCCCCATAATTTGCAAACCCACCTCTATCTTGGTGGAATTCATATTTCTTGCTAACGTGCTTATGGTTTAGCTCTGCCTTTGCTCACCACAGCCTCTCTTCCAACTTTGCAGTTTACCTTGTGGGAAACAGAGCTCCCATTGGCACGATGGTACTTTAGTGGCCACTTTGTTATGTGCACAAAGGTCCCCGAGTTGAAGTAAGCGCTTGTAGAGGCCCACATAATTACTTCGACAAGGGCCATCATCTGTACCAAGATTGCTTTGAAGGATAAGATAGTGGGTTAGATTCAGTCTCCCAGACACAGTGAAAATGACATCATCATTAATAACAACAGCACTTGTTTTTCAGGTACCTTCTATATGCAAGGCTTTTTTTTTTTTTTTTTTTTTTTTTTTTTTTTGAGACGGAGTCTCGGTCTGTCGCCCAGGCTGGAGCGCAGTGGCCAGATCTCAGCTCACTGCAAGCTCCGCCTCCCGGGTTCACGCCATTCTCCTGCCTCAGCCTCCCCAGTAGCTGGGACTACAGGCACCCGCCACCTCGCCCGGCTAGTTTTTTGTATTTTTTTAGTAGAGACGGGGTTTCACCGTGTTAGCCAGGATGGTCTCGATCTCCTGACCTCGTGATCCACCCGTCTCGGCCTCCCAAAGTGCTGGGATTACAGGCTTGAGCCACCGCGCCCGGCCTATGCAAGGCTTTATGAAAGTTGATTAAATACGAGATATTGCTCAGGATGCTAGGGCAGCCCCACCTCCATGTGAGGGTCACGTGCAGGTGCAGCTCACTCTCAAGTCCATGTACTTTCTGATTCACTCAGCTGACAATGAATTTCTGAAGCCTTCAGCAAAGCACAATTTGCTATATTAATTTGGCACATCAATCTGGTCTGTTGGAGCTGCGCTGGATCTCTGTCACTCCCCACTATAAGTCAGGGACCAGTCACTGTGTGCCACTTTTTTAAAGGGCAGCTGTAATTAGAAAGATGAGTAGAAAAAGTGACAAAAGTTACACACCATTTCTCCTGCTAGAGTTGTCTCTGTAGTATGAACGGACAGAACTCCATCATTAGAAGCAGAGTGCCTCTGTGAAGGATGGAGCTGTGATCTCAGAGCCCTGGAAGTCATCTGCAGAGCTGGCAGCTAGAACACTAATGAGCAAAAATAAGAAGCTGTGACAATTGGGTTCCTCTGCCCCAGCCTGGAAAACAGAAAATTCAGTATGCAAATGACCGTCGGTGGAAATTAGCTGTGATTTTCCCTGCTCTGTGCAAAGAGCTGGCATTTCCTCATTTATCCATTCATCCAACAAATATTTATTGAGCAACTAATATTTCCTGTTGCTATTTTATTCCCAGTAGCTACATAAATGATCAAGACAGAAGAAAAGCCCTGCCCTGCTTCCAGTGTAGAACTGAGAATATGCAAAAAAAAAAAAAAAAAAAAAAACCCATGTAAAATACAGAGCATTTCAGTTGGTTATAGCGTAAGTAAGCTTCAAAGGGTACCGACATTTTTAAAGAATCGGGGTTAAATTCCCATCCCTAAACTTTTCTAACTGTGAGACTTCAGGAAGACTTTTAGTCTCTTCAAGCCCCAGTTTTCTCATCCACAAAATGAACACTATATTGGATATCCGCAAGGTATTAGGAGGACTGAGATGATGTGTGAATGTTATGAATACAGTGAAGCAGTAGATTAATGTAAATTGCTTCACATATAAGGACTGCTTGTATTTTGAGCCTCTTCTCAAATTTCCACCTTGGTCACTACAAAGATACAAAGAAATATTTGACAAATGATTTAAATTTTAGTGATAGATCACATTTGTTTCTAGTTTACATTTTAACAATGCTAGTGCAATTCAGTGTGCTCCAAAACACCTGAGCTAGATATACTCCAACGAAGAGGACTTTCGTATAGTACAGCAAAGGCGTCTCTGAAGTTCGAGACAGAAAATAATCAAATAAACAAGTTTTCCCAGCTCAAAAGATGCTTGTGAGGGTAAAAATACAGTGTTGGTTATTTCATGCTGTTTTGTTTTGTTTTTGTTTTGTCCTTTAGACTCTGATGCCTTCTGAAGCAAATGACTTGCTCAACTCCTTGTTGGATGTAGTTTCCAGCCTCAGCTCCTTGCTTGCCAAAGCCCAGCACATCTTTGAGCATCTTCCTGGGTTTCTTCACACATTTAAAATCACTGCCTTGCTAGAAACACTGGACTTTCAACAGGTGTGTGCTTCATCTTTGTCCCTAGGGAAATATTCAAATTTGCCCCTTCTTTGTATTTGCCCCTTTTTTCCTTTATCTTCCCACATCTAAAATTTGCATTAGAGAGCAAAATACCGGAATGGAAGTACCTCTTCATATCTCTGGAAGCAACAGCATAACATAGAATAAGGCCTGGCATCTCTCCAAAAACTGCATGAAACTGACACTGTTGATCCACATTCCGCCAGTGTGGAGATTGGGATAGTACATGCATTATCTATGAAGTAAGAAATTACTAACTCAATTATTGCACAGATGAGATTTCAAGGGCCTGTTTAACTTAATTCAGAGAGCAAATTGCTTTCAAAAACCTTAAAACATTTATTTCCTTATAAATAATTGGTTTACAAATTACAAATCATTTATTGCAAATGCAAACACAAACTTGATTTAGTTTAGTGGCTTGATATTAGGTTTTGCTTGAACTCTCTTTGCCTGGGATGGAACTGACTGGGCACGAATGAGGAGGAGTGTGGAATTTTTAGGGTTGGAGGTGCAGGATGAGGAGCAAGATAACAATGTTCTCAGAGCTGCCATGGAGACATATTGTAAGTCCATCATGTGATAGATAATTTGTATAGCTATAAAATATCTGGATATCTTGGTAGCATAGACACACATTAAGACTAGTAATTAGTATGAATTAGTGATATTTTACGGATTAATAATTTATTACTGGACAAATAGTAAGGCCTTATCTGTGTGTGTGTGTGTGTGTGTGTGTGTGTAGGTATGACATTTCCCTCTTCTACCAGGTATGTTGGCCAGAAAAATTACCGTAGTGTTTCAAATGGTATCCCAAGGACAGAAAACTCTAAAGCAGACATTCGATTCTTTTGACTTGTTGAATATCTTGTACATTCAGTGGAGGAAGGAACTAGACTTTCAGAAGTATGTGAAGGAATTGTTTAAAGTCACAATGTAGTTGCAATTTAGTTTTCTTATTTTCTCAGGTTTCACAAAATGTCCAGGCCAGAAGTTCAGCCTTTGGTTCTTTCCAGTCTGTGATGAAGTTGGTTTGCAAGGACCAAGCATCATTCCTTAGCAATTCTAATATGTTCATTGATTTGCCCAGAGTTAACGAACTCTTGGAAGATGACAAAGAAAAATTCAACATCCCTGAAGATTCAAGTAAGATAGGATAGTAGTAATATATATATGTGTTTAGATTCATTTGTATCTTGATAATTGGGCCTACTTTATACTAAGTATTCTGTCTGTGTATAAGGTTGCTATATACATAAATCTTCTGCTTCCACCTCCCCAAATGCTGGCATGGCCGCTGACTTTGAACAGTCCTAGTGCCTTTGAGCACAAACAAATCCTCTCACCTGGGTCACTAAGGAACTGTGTCACCAAGGAAGTGTCTAAAACACCTGAAACCCCAACCCTATTGGTTTCCCAGGCTAACCAGTTTTGGTGAGGGTCCAGGCATAAAGACCATGAGCACTGCTTTGGTCCATGCAAATGGCTATATTATAATAATGAAGAGAACTTGTCTGTGGCCACCTCCAAATTTGCTCTCTGTGAAGCTCCGGTACAAGTGAATATGCACGATAGGTACAAATGAATGCAAATTAATATGTAATTTTTTGGCCCCAATTTAAGTGGAAACGTTTTTATTAGTAAGGCAGAATAAACATGCTGGTGAGGTTTTGGGGTTTAGACAGTTCAGCTCCATCAGTTGTGCATTTTTGGTCACGTTGTTTTATGTGTCTGCATCATGTTGGTTTCATTTATAACATGGAAACAGTAGCACCTAGCTCATAAGCTTGTTGTGAGATGCAATGGAGATGACGAGTATTGGCGCCTTAGCATAAGGGTATAAATGTATCCTAGTGTATTCATTTTCTTTTTTCTTTTTTTTTTTTTTTGAGACGGAGTCTCGCTCTGTCGCCCAGGCTGGAGTGCAGTGGCCGGATCTCAGCTCACTGCAAGCTCCGCCTTCCGGGTTTACGCCATTCTCCTGCCTCAGCCTCCGGGGTAGCTGGGACTACAGGCCACCTCGCCCGGCTAGTTTTTTGTATTTTTTAGTAGAGACGGGGTTTCTTTCTATGCTGCATGACAATCATTGCACACTTAATGGCGTAAGACAACACACATCTGTCATCTCATAGTTTCTATAGGTCACATGTCGGGTTCTGAGTTAAAATTTTTAGTTTTGTACATATCATGACTATGCTTTTTTTCTGCAGTAAAATTGCTCCTGTTCATATTAAGCTTGTAATGTAAAGAGTAAGTCATTAAATTTCAGTAAGAACAACTTCTATAATTAATGGTTTAAAAATGTATTATGTAGTCGTATTCTTAATTTATACTTTAGGGGGAAGTATTTCCATCAATTTTATTGTACTTGTCAAATAATTTTTTTTCCTTTGAAATGGGGAGTTTGGGAAGATGAAAGTAACATTTAAAACAACCACAACAATCATACCTTGAGTATTTATAAATCACAGTATTAAATCTAAGATAATATTTTGATTTTATTCTTATAAAGCTAAAATAATATTTTCATTTTAAATGTTCTTTAGATGGGTAAAGAAATAGTTATACTGAAGTATTCCTCACTAGCTTAAAACCTTATAAGATTTAGTTCCTACTCATTATGGTGAGGAAATATCTACCCCCATCAGGTAACCATTGATTTAGACAATTTAGCTAAGTAAATCTTTAATTGAAATCAACTAGCATCACAAGATTCATGAGAGCCACCAAGAGGGATTCAGTACTTGCGTGAAAATAAGGCAATTTAATATGTCAAAATTAGGAAGTTTGATAGTTCTGCATGAGTTCCCTAAAGACAATTCAGTAGTAACTTGTAAAGCTGACTTCATAAGAAAAGCTCAGTTCTGATCTCAATATTGTGACTGTTGAAATGAGAATTTTCTTGATGAAAAACCAGATTTATTTTTCTAATTGTCGTTTTCATTTTCAAGTGTCCATGTCATTATTTAACACTCTTTTTGATTACTTAGTTTGAAAATGTAAGTCATTCTTTCCTGCCTTTGAAGTCACTTAAGTGAACGCAGTATCATGAAGTTTCTTATGAGATGAGAGCTGCTGAAAACTGTAACAGGGAAAAAAATCTTGTTTTACCTCCTGTCTTTGTTTGGTGTTGCTATAAAGGAATACCAGATGCTGGGTAATTTGTAAAGAAAAGAGGTTTGTTTGGCTCACAGTTCTGTGGACTATGCAAGAAGCATGGCACCAGTATCTGCTTCTGGTGAGGCCTCAGGCTGTTTCCACTCGTGGCAGAAATGGAAGGGGAGCTGCCATGTGCAGAGATCACAGGACAAGAGAGGAAGCAAGAGAAGGGGAGGAGGGAGGTGCCAGGCTGTTTTTGTGTGTGTTTGTTTTTTTAGCAAGCAGCTCTCTTGGGAACTAATAGAGTGAGAACTACACTCATTACTATGACAGTGGCACCAAAACATTCATGAGGGATCTGCCCCCATGATCTAAAGACCTCTTGTTAGGCTCCACCTCCAACGCTGGGGATCAAATTTCAGCTTAAGGTTTGGGAGGTCAGGCATTCAAACTATAGCACCCCCAAAGTTCAGAGTCGTGTCAGAAAAAAATATGTCTATCATTGAAAATGAGGCATCCTGGATATGTGAATGTATTTCCCTATTAACCTAGGCATTGTGTATCATTAGTAATGTATTTTTTCTCTTTCTAATTGCAACAGCACCATTTTGCTTGAAGCTTTATCAGGACATTCTACAACTGCCAAATGGTGCTTTGGTGTGGACCTTCCTAAAACCCATATTGCATGGAAAAATACTGTATACACCAAACACTCCAGAAATTAACAAGGTCATTCAAAAGGTAAGTTAAAATGAATGAGAATCATATAGACCTTCCTAAATCGGGAAGGAATCTTTAAAAATGTCTGACATAATTATTATGCACCTTGGATTATGTAAAAGGCTCTTATGTTGGATCTATTTCATTTTAGCCTGAGTGTTTTTCATGTCATTGTTGTTGTTAAAACTGGATTTGCTGACTCCTTCCCTTAGAGGACACTTTGGGGGTTGGGGTTGTTATTTAGAATAATTAATGCAGTGAACTTACAGAACTCTAATTTTAAAAGTCAAGGACAATGAGACTGAGAGGAGGACTGTTTGGAGTAATTCCAGGAAAACTTGGAGAACAAATGCTAATCTGTTTTGCCTGGTGCATCCAACAATTAAGAAAGAATCAGACATGGTACATACAAACTGATGTATTAGCAGTTAGTTAGTATTTTGGTTAGTGATGTTTCTGAATTCACTGTGAGGTTTTGCTTCACCCTTTGGAGAATAAGGTGAGATGAAGACACCAAAGCAGGGTTTACCCAAGAGGAAGTTAGACACTAGATGGCTCTGCTTATTTTCCTTTCCTTACATTGTTTAACCTCTCAAATCTGTTTACTGCAGGATTTGTTATTACTAATATTTGCAATTTCTTTTTAAATAATTGTGTTGTATTTTCCTGGAGTCTTTTCTTGCCAGCTGGGCACCTGGAAAGGGGACATTTTACCAAAGACATAGGAATAATTTTGTCTTATTGTCAAACACAGAAGAGAAGATATCTGTACTATTCATGTTAAACTTCCAAGCCTCAAGTAGTATTAATAACCTGGAAACTGTGATCATATGGCAGGGGATCATATGAGCAGTTAAGTCATTTTTTATCAAACTTGCCTTCACGAGTTTCATGCTCCTGATCCATGGTTGCTGTGTGAGGTCACAGCACTATTTCCCGTAAGTTCCCTTTCCCACTTTACCGCCTACTTCAGGGGTTGTATTTACCTCTGCCTACTCTGAATGGTATTTGAACTTTAAAACGTTTATTTAATGTTTTAAATTTTTGTTTTGTTTTGTTTTTTGGAGAGACGGAGTCTGGCTCTGTCACCCAGACTGGAGTGCAGTGGTGCAATCATAGCTCACTGCAAACTTGCACTCCTTGGCTCAAGCAGTTCTCCTGCCTCAGTCTCCCGAAGTGCTGAGATTACAGGTGTGTGCCCCCACGCCCTGCTAACTTTTTAGTTGGGGTTTTTTTTTTTTTTTTTTTTTTTTTTTTGTAGAGGTGTAGTCTTTCTACTTTCTAAAAAAAACCTTGGAAGTGTCCTTTTGGAGGGGTATTTGCTTAAAGTCTGTACTCTCACATGGAATGGCATTGATCACCATATTTGCCTGTTGTGACCTGTTCTGTTGGGCAGGACCTCTGGCCTCACAGCTACCATCCCAGGACTGGAGCCTCTGCACCATTATTCGAATTTCCTTAGTGTAGTAAGTTTTTTAGGGTTTTGGATATTTAAGGAATTTCACAGAAAATGGCTCCATATCACAGCTCTATTTTAAATTCAAAATTTAAAAATAGGCCATGACTTTAAAAAATGGTATGCTATATTATTATGTTAATATTATTAATATATGAGTACAGCATTGCATATTATGCTGTATTCTGTGGTATAACAATTAGTATGATGATCTCTGCTTTTAAAGAGCTCACCCTATTGTGGGGAAGAGAAGGCAAATAGCTGAAGAAATAATTTAGATATACTATGCTGTAAGGACCATTCAGTGCAGCAGAGGCACAGGCTGGGTGGGGCAGCTGGTCTCCCTGGAAAGAAAGACTGGGCAAAGCACTTGGAAGGACGGGTTGCATAAGCCCCTATGAGGTGGAGACGGGAGGACTCTGGGCCTGGACAGAGGTGTGGGGAGGTGCTAAGCCCCACATGTGTGTTCTGAGAAGGATGAGAATTTTTGAAAAATCACCAGACTTCACTGGTTCTTGCTTAGCCCCTTTTAGATCTTACAGGCAGTGTTAAGAGTTGATGTCTTTTTCACTTATTTAAAATGGCTACCAACTTTGTATGCAGGTGTCCTGGTTTTGCACTTATAAAGCTGATTTTATGGCATTGTACCTGGGATGAATTATCCTAGCAGTCAGCCACGGCTATTTGGTTTTATGAAAATTGTTTCTAGTCATTAGACTCATGGTCTAAAGTCCCGCAGAGCTGGGAGATGCTTGTAGCTTTGCCACTTGGGCTATGTGAAGCAATATTATCTACAGTGTTGGAGTGGCCCATGCTATAAATTATTTAAGACATGGTCTTTTTCTCTCCATTATTTCTTGTTAGGCGGAACCATCTGAAGTTGCCATTTTTGCAGGAAAAAAAATCTATAAAAGTTGGTAATTTCATTTGGTTTAACTTGTAACAGCACAGGTGGCACCCAGAAGCATGATGCTGTGGTAAGAAACATGTGTGTGTGTTGGAAGGGTGGATTTTGGTCCCCGTTTTCCTAACTCTCTGTGACCTTAGGCTTATTGCATTCTCTTTGAAGGACTCTTCTCTGTCTCTGACATGAAAGACTTGAGTAGATCTGTGATTTTCAGTCATCTGGGCGATGGCTCTTCATGGGGGATGCATCAGAATTACTCAGGGACCATTAGTAAGGCCTTCCCCCTTCTGGGCTCTGATATCCCCCGCCCTGGACACTTGCACCCATCACATCCATCCATACCCTTCCACGGAGCTGTGTGCACCTCCATCTATCAGCCTTAAAGACAGTGGAAGTCAAGCACTTTCATGAACCAGAAAAAAATATGATGGCCAAAATTTCTAGAGAGTGTTAAAAGATAAACTTAGGGACATTAAAATTTCGGTAAGTTTATTTGAGCATTCGGTTATTCGTGAATTAGGCAATGCTAGACAATTCAACCCTCCACTGACCATGTTGGGGCGTGGGATATGGGGTAATAGAAGAAGCTTATATAAAGTGTTTGCTGCAGCAAGAGGGAGAAAATATATTTGTTAAAGTCAAAAGTCCCCAGTTGGAGGTTAGTTGGAGGTTTCTGATTGGTTAGTCTTAACTTTTGTTTTACTGTTTGCATTGCACTGGGTTTTCGTCTGCTTACATAGGAACTCAAGGTGCTACAGCCGTCTTGGCTTAACAACCTCCCGATCAACTATTTTAACAGGAGTTAATTTAACTTATACTTCTAAGGGTGTCAGACTGAGTATTTGCAAAGGAATTGATGGTATTTCCATGTTATTGGTCAAGAGATTCCTCCAATGCATTAGTATGCTTTTTTTATTTTGTAGGTCAGAGTTGTGTTCGGTTTTGGCCTAGGCTGATGAAAAATTGAAGAACGATGTGTAGACACAATGTGAGCTTGAACGGAGGCTATGAAAGAAAAACAGATAAAAGGATGTATTGTTTTCCCAAGAATAAGTAGCATGCCTGAAATGATACTTCAGTGAGAATCATGAGGCACATTCTAGGCCCCTGCTGCCCAAAGTAGATTTAGTTTGGGCTCCTACAGGATGTATAAGCCTATGAAAGCGGCCCGTCTTGTTTTCATCTAGCTCTCTCCCTTCGGCCAAGTTATTTGAACTGTCATGCTCAGTGTCCTCCTTTGTGAAACTGGGCTAAATCATAACTCTCTCTCAGTGCCATTTGGAAGTGGAAAAAATACCAGAAATAATATTCAGAAAATAGTAAACCAATTGGATCTCCTCCCCTAAAAATGTTATTCAAAGAAATGCATTCTGCCATTGTTGCCTCTGGGGAGTGGGGAAGACAGATGTCACTTCAGAAAGAAGAAAGAGATAGTGGAGGCCAGTGGTTCCAACCAGGGCGGGGTTGGAGAAATTTTACCCAACTGGGCACGTGTGACAGTATCTGAAGATATTTTTAGTGTCACAAGTAGAAGACGCTGCTGGCATCTGGAGGCTGGAGGCCAGGGATGCTCCTAAACATCCTACAATGCACAGGACAGCCCCCACCCCCAAACAAACAATGATCTGGTTTACAATGTTAGTGGTGCTGAGGTTGAGAAACCCCAGCCAGTTGGGAGCAGGTGGGAGTCCCTGGGAAGAGAGGGATGAAAGTAGAGGAAGTTAGTGGTCAGGTGGGCATCCTGGCTTCTCCTCTCCTGGTGACGGTCCCAAACAGGAGCTGTGGGATGATAGAGGAGCTGCAAGCTGAGGGCGTTGGCCCTACCCATGTGTCTTGGGGGATAGTCCCTGTGTAGGCCGGCCCTGAGCTAGCATGTGCTCCTAGCAGTGTGGCTGAGCAGAGGAAGGATACCTGAGTTAGTGTCTCTGAGCATGGAGTAGAAGGGAGCCAGATTTCCCTGACATCCATGTCCTGAGCCAGCAGGCCTTGGGGACCTGCTATGAACCAGCTGCCATGAGAGCGAGGTGGCCTCACCACCGAGCTGGCCTAGGCTAGGCTGACAGAGGAGATGGCTGAGACTCAGAAAGCAGGAGCTGAGTTGAGAAGGAAGCAGCAAGGGAGAAGGCAGTGCCAGACCCCGAGGTTCCAGGTAAGACGTGGGCCTTGGCAGCACCACAGATAGGCAGATGAGGCACATGGCTGTGGGAGTCCTGGGCTCTCCACCCCTGACTGTCACCAGGCTGCCCCTGGAGAACATCAGGGGGTTTGAGCATTCACCCCAAAGAGCCTGAATCCCTCAGAAGATGCTGTTTGAACAGGGAGCCACTGTCAGCTGTCAGCAGGCGATTTTAAGACTTTGTTCTCTTTTCACCATCCCCAGTGGGTAAAAACTGGATCAGCTACAGGAAATAGAGAATTACATTTTCTTAGGAGCCCCAAGCAGTGGAGTGTTAGATATTTGGCTTTGTGGCATCGTATGTCTGTATGTATAACATCAATCAGGACCCAGAGCAGGTCCCATAAAATGGCAGCCCTACCGTGGGCACCTGCCTGATCCTCTGTCTGGAAGCCATCCGTGGAGGAGGGACTCTGATAGTTACGTTTGTTTCCAAGTCTTCCCATGCTGCTCAAGACGGCAAAGCTCTTCAGTAACCTTGT